AGCCAGACCAGCAGAGGGTCTTTTCTGAGACCCTCAAATGCCACCCGCCACACACTTTCCCCAAAGACTCTGATAAGAAGCAGGCCCAGATGGAGGGGTGACCCTCCCTATAAGACGTTCTTCTCACCACCCAGGATACTGTCCCCTTCACCTGGCTTAAGGGGTACAGGAGGCGAGGGAAGAGGAGAGAGACAGGTGTGCTGATGAGGTTCCATGCTGGAGTGCCTGATGGAGAAAGGGATGAACAGACTTGGGTCCTAGGCACAGGCATATCCTACGCAAAAGCCGCCCATACACAGCCAGCCTGCCACACACGTATGATCACTTGTAGAGGCCAACCTGACACAGCCACAGGAAGGTCTGTTCAGAGAACCACTCAACAAGGAGGCGGCACTGGTTGTGGAGCCTGGCGACGGCCTGAAGCGGAAGAAAAGGGCATCATTCAGAGGCAGCAAAGCCCCAGGCCTGCCCGCCCATGTGCTGAAGGGGTGTTGACAAAAAGGGAAAGGAGTGGGTAACATGGTCGGGACGAGGGAGGGGGGCGAGGATTGAGGAGAAAAGAGCAAAGAACGGGGATGGGAGAAGGGGGAGGAGGAGGGACTCCAACTCCACGGGAGTGTGGGAGCAGGGGACCTTCCTAGGGGCAGCGGCGAGAGTGGTCCCAGCGCAAAGGCAGCGGATCCGAGCGGTGGACTCACCCGCAGCTCTTTGCGCTCCCAGCAGTTGGAACCGTTACAGGATTCCTGAGGTCCGACGCTCCCGGGAGCCAGAGAGGGGAGGGGCTGGGGGCGAGGGCGGGGCGGGGGCCAACCTGCCGGCTGAAGCCTTGGGAATAGGGGTCTGGCTGGGTGTGAGAAGGAAAGACATGGTTGATTTGGGGAAGAAGCCATCCCGAGGGCGTCGTGGATAAGTGTAATCCATGTACCGGTTTACCCATTCACTGAGCCTCTAAGATAGCGCCAGGCACCAACAACTGTGTCTTCAGAACCGCCACCGGTCAACACACACTCGCACACATCCACCCTCCCCACCCTCACCACCTCCGTCCCCAACCAAAAAAGGAAAAAAAAAAGAAGACAAAATCCTTGAACCCATGGAGCTCACAGTGGGGAGGGGGAACGGGGGAGGGGAAGAAGTTGAATGTTTCTTTTTAATAGAAATTAAGCATATGATAGAATCCATTTCTGCTCTGAAATCCAGATATGTATATCCATCTGCCTACCTAATGTCTCCACTTGGTATCTAAGTATCTCAAACTTAAAATGTCTAAAACTAGACTCCTAACTGCCTCCCCCCACAAAAGAAACCTGTTTCTTCTGCTGTCTTCTGCATTTCAGTAAGGAGCGAGTCCGTTTTTTCAGCTGCTGGGGTCAAAACCTTGGGGTCACCTTTGACTTCTCTCTCTCCCTCCCTCATTTCCCCCGCTTCCCATCCCATGTCTAATTTGTTGACTATAGTTTCAAAATATACCCAGACTCCAACTACTTTTCACCACCTTAAGTGCTGTAACTTCAGTATAAACCACTATCATCACTCACCTGGATCACGCCAGGACCTTCCAATTGGTCTCCCTGCTTCTATATTTGCCTCTGGAATCTGCTCTTTTCAGAGTAGCCAGAGACCCTTTACAAATATAGGCAGATTCTGTCACCCCTCTCCTCAAAAGTCACTAATGCCTTATCTCATTCCCTCAGGTGAAAGCTGAAGTCGTGCATGACCTACCAGTTGCTATCCAATCAGCCACCTGCTACCTCCATGATCTTTCCTACTCTCTCCCCCTATCACTCCACTCCTGCTGTGCCTGGATCACATCAAGCATGCTCCCACCTCAGAGCCCACATAGATCTCTGCTTTGTATCAGGAGACAGACAAGTTTTCTGTGGCATATGTGACAAACTACCACAAACTAAGCAGCTTAAAAGCAACACCCACCCATGCAGTATCTCACAGCTCTGTAGACTGATGTCCAGCATGGCTTGGCTGGGTTTCTGCCTAGGGTATCATAAGCCTAACATCAAGGTGTTGGCTGGGCTGAGTTCTTGTGTGGAGACTCTGGGGGAAAATCCTCTTCCAAGCTCATACTTCTCGTTGGTAGGATTCAGTTCCTTGCTGTTGTAGGACTGAAGTTCCTATTCCTTCCTGGCTTTTAGCTGGGGGCCACTCTCAGGTCCTAGGGCCACCTGTCTCCCTTGCCATATGGGCCCTCCATTTTCAGGCTGGCAACAGCAGCTCAAAACCTTCTCATACTTGGAATCTTTTTGATACCTTCTTCTGTAACAAGGCAGAGAAAACTCCCTCCTTTTAAAAAGTTCATGTGGTTCACTCAGGCCCACCCAGATAATCTTCCTTTCTTACAGTCAAGTTTGCTATATTAATAAAACTTAATCATGGAAGTAAAACCTATCATGTTCATAATCCTAGGAATTACACACATGTAGACAGAGCAGGAATCTTGGGAACCATCTTAAAATTCTGCCTACCACACATAGAAGAGAGTAACAAAAAGACCCAAAATTACAAGGGCTTAAACACGATAGTTTATTTTGTTCTCTCCCATAACTGTCCAAGTACTGCAGGGCTGATATGGCACCTTTAATTTGTTTTACTGTTTCCAAGGCTGTGGTCCTTGTCTAGGTCCCATCCTAACTAGTGAGATGTAGGGGGAAGAGCAGAAGGTCCACCCTTACTTTTAAGGGTACAGACTGACAATGCACACATCACTCAGTCACATGGAAGCACCTAACTACAAGGAAACCTGCAAAATCGAGTTTTTATTTTCAGTGGCCATGTGCTCAATTAAAAGTCAGGGGTTCTCTAAAGGAAGAGGACAATGGACATTGAGAGAACTGTAGGCTTATACCAAAATAGACACTCTTTTCCCAATGTCCACAAGGTTTACTCCTTCAAGTGTCTGCTCAAAGAAACCTTATTAGTGAGTTCTTCTCTGACCAGCCAATATACAATAGCAACACTCTCCCCATCTTCCTTACCCTTTTTACCCTGCATTAATTCATACCCTGTATAATTGCTTATTGCCTGTTTCCCACCTATAAACAAAAGCTCATGGTGGCAGAGATGCTAACTGCTCTCTGCTCTATCCCCAGCCCCTAGTGCTACCCCAGGAGTGGTGATGAGAAAATATTTGTGGAACAAATGCATAAATGTATAGTAATCTTCATTAGTGACTAAGAGGAGAGACCTGGAGTCAGACTGCCTGGATTGAAAGAAAACCTGACTCCACCACTTACTTGACATGGATATTTTACCTCAGTTTCGTTATGTTTGTGAAATGAAGACAATAGTAGTACCTTATCTACCTTATAGGGTTGCTATGAGGATTAAGTGAGTTAATGTATATAAAATGCTTAGAATAGCGCCTCGTATATAAACACTTGGTATAATTGATGTATAAGTTATGTTTTTGTTGATCATGGCACTCTGCTAAGTGCTGTTGACATAATGGTGAACAAGACACACTAGGGATCAGTGAGGGTGTGAATAATGGCATGGGCAGTCCTTCCCGGGAAGGGCATCGGAGTTAAGAGTCACAGGCTTTAAAGTTTAAGGTCTTAAAAACAATGGTTTTCTAGACTTACGAGAACAGGGAATTCTGTTCATAACCTCTACTAAGCCCTCAACACTGCCTACAATCTAATTATGCTTCTTTGGTCAGTTCACGCTATCTTTCTGAGCCAAAACTAGTTCAAACCTTCTGCACTCTTCCATTTTCTTCTGCTTTACTCTCTAATAACTTCACCTATCTAAAAAAAATGCTGTATTAATCAGGGTTCTTCAGAGAAACAATTAATAGGATACATGTATATATAAAGAGATTTATTTTAAGGAATTGGCTCACAGGATTGTGGGGGCTGGCAAGTTCAAAATCTGTAGGGTAGGTCAGTCTGTTGGAAATTCAGGCAGGAATTAGTGCTGCAATCTTGAGGCAGAATTTCTTCTCCAGAAATGTTTTTGCTCTTAAGGCTTTCAACTGATTGGATGAAGCCTACCCACATTATAGAGGATAATTTCTGTTACTTAAAGTCAACTGACTGTAGATGTTAACCACATCCATCAAATACCTTCACAGCAACACCTAGATTACTGGGTGATGTAACCTACCCAAGCTGACATGTAAAATGAACCAGCACACCTGTTATTTAAAAGGAACGCTCTCAATCTCCCAAAAGAAAACCAAAAAAACTACTTAGATCTGTTCCTGTCCATTCCTCCTTTCTTTCCATTACGAATAAGTTGGTCCTCCTTTCTCTAAAGCCAAACTCTTGACCTTTGCTCTGGAACTATTCTCTCTTGCCTTCATTCCCTCAACAAATATTTATTGAGCATCACCTGTGTTAGGCACTATATCAGGTGTTTGGCTACATCAGTGTACAAAACAATAACATTGACAAAATTCCGGATTTATGGAGCTAACATTCTAGTTAGGGACACAAATAATAAACAAAACAAGCACTTTCACCCATTTCACAAAATGGGAGAAAGGGAGTCACAAAACAAGCACCTTCACCCATTTCACAAAATGGGAGAAAGGGGGTCAAAAGGTAAAAAATAAATTAAAGAAAGCCTTGGTAGAATATAATCATGAATCACAGGACAGGCCAACAAACAGGATTTAATTTAAAACTCTAAAGTTTCACAGACTGACATTAGTCTTCACCCTCTCCAGTATAATCACATTTAGAGAATTTTTATCACTAGTTTTGGGGAAAATATCTGGAATCTGGAGGAAGAGAATTACCTGCAAAAGCCCTATATAGGTTTCCATCCTAACTTGGTTCCTTTTTAGATGAGATAATAAAACAAACCTATTGTAAAAGTCCACACTATCTACTGTTAGGAGAGGTAACAGACCGAAACAGGATTACCAAAAAAAAGAAAAAAAAAAAAAAACAGGAAAAGACCCCAAAACCAAAAGTGCAATTAGTAGTTTAAAAAACTACAGAGAGCAATGCCAATAAAAACAATTTTGTGTATTCACGACAGTATATACAACAAATTTTATTAGAATCTTGATCCACAAAAAAAAAAAAAGCAGGAAAAAGGGGACCAGGAATGTCTCAGAAGATAGGCTACAATTTTAAACAGGGTAATCACAGTAAGCCTTAATGGAAAGGTGACATCTGGGCAAAGACATGAAGGAACAGAGTCTTTTGCCTGGCTAATTATAATCCATCCTTCAGATATCAGCTTCAAAATCACTTCCTCGGGGAAGCTCTCCTTCACGCCCATACAGGCAGGTTAGTGCTACTGTATGCTCCCATCACAACACATATTTCTTCTTTATAAGATTCATCACAGTTGTCATTACTTGTTCTATATTGACTTTCACCATACCTATGTTAAGTTTCAAGAGAACAAGGATTGCCATCTCTCTCATTTACCTCTTTATCTGCAGGGTCTAACAGTTTTGGTAAAAGTAGCCACTCAAGTATTTGTAAAATATGTGAATATATGTGTGAATATCGGGCATACCCAGAAAAAGCAAAACAGAATCCGGAATTACTATGATGTGTCTGAACACCACTAAAGAAATGAACCTTTATAACCAAGAATAATAAGAGAATCAAAAACTGAGGAAAGGCAGTTAATGAAGCCAGAGGTCATCTGCGACATAATCAGAGAAAGCCTCAGTTGCATTGCTACAGAGTCTGAAGTATTAGAAGGTGTTAAGTAGATGAATACCATGGTTAAATTTGTTTTACATGAATATCTTGGCTAGTACAGAAAATGGATTTGCAGGTGTCTCCCAATAGCCATTCCCCTCTTCTTCCTTAGTTAACACAGCCCTCAATTTTTAACTGGTAAGAATAAAAATGACATTTCCCAGCCTCCTTTGTAATAGGATCTGACCACATGACCAATTTCTGATGTGCAACTTCCAGGATGTGTCCTTAACGGGAAGAAGGTATGTATGCCCTATCCCCTTCATTGCCACTCCCTGCCAAAGTTTGCCCCTTGGTGGAATGTCTACGTGATGAATAAAGCTCCATCTTTGGTGACAAGGATGAAGATCATAACCTAGACACAGCACACAGAAGCTGTTCAACAGTTTGGTTTTCAGATGACTGTGATGACACCACACCAATTTTTGACTAGATTTTTACTTGAAAAAGAAGTTTGCAAGCCACTGTTATTTTGAGTCTCTGTTACATGGACCTTAGCTAAATTCTAACTAAAGAGTCATCCAGATTCAAGAAAGAAGCTGCTAGGTGACTACTGCTGTAATATTTATAAGAGCTGATGAAAATTTGATTAAGTTGGTGACAACGGTGGAGAGAAAAGAAAGGGCTCAATAATTATTTAAGCAGAACTACAGTAGTTAGAAATTGGGTGGAAACTAGAATAACAGAGAATGATTTGCTCCAAATGGAAGCTTCCAGGTATTGTCTGATCTGTGAATATTAATGGCAGAAGACATCAAATAGTGATATTTTAAATGAAAAGACTTCTAAATCATTGGCAAAAGGTTGAACACAGATTCACTTGTCTTTTCGATATAAAGTCTTTCCCTTATTATGTAAATAGTAGATTGAGCCGGGAGGAGACTGAAAAATGTTCATTCAACAGATATTTATCAAGCACATATTATATGCCAGACAACTCTGTGATAAGGACACAGTGAACAATACAGACATGGACTCTGACCTCATTAGGTATATAATGACCAACTGTTATAAGTGCCAAAAATATGGGAAATTATGGGAGCTGGAGTCTGGGAAGAGTTGAGGAAATAGTATTTGAAATAAGTACTCAAGAATGAGGTAAAAGCATGCAAGCCAAGAAACAGGTGCAAAGGCCCCAACATGGCATAGTGTATGGTAAGTTAGAGGAGCCGAAAGACAAGTTTGGTTAGAGCACAGAGGGAGTGAGTAAGGTGTGGTTCAATCCAATTCAATCCAACAAACAGTACTTACAGTTCAGTATTTGACAGTCACTGGTAAGATAAAGCTGAGGTAGGCAGGGACCTTATAGGTTATGTGTAGGATGTCAGTTTTTATCCTAGTAAGAATGGGAATCTAGTGGTTTTAGGCACCAGTTTGTTTTCTGGCAGGTGAATGGAGAACAGATTGGAGGGGTACAAACGTAGATATAGGGTAAAGCAACAACTGCAATAATCCTGGTGGAAGACTATGAAGATGGAGAGAAGCAGACAGAACCACAGGGTATTTAGAAATGTAAACTGATAGGATTTGACAACTGAATGAAGGGATAAGTGAGGTTTCTAGCTTCTCCAACTGCATGCCAATAGGCACAGGAGGAAAGTTTATGAAGAAATATGTTGAGTTGGAGATGTTTTTGAGACACATAAGTGGAATATCAGTCATGTAGCTCAGTGGAAAGACCTGGGAGTCATCAGTAAGTAAAGCTCAAAGTGGGGACAAAACAATCCTAGGAAAATTAGACCAAGAAACACAGGACCCAGAGAAACTTTGAGATTTAAAGGATGGAGGCATGTGAGTATGCGAAGGAGGCTAAGAAGGTTCAATCAAAGTATTAGTAGTAAAATCTATGTGGAATCACAGGCAACAGTGAAAGACTGTCTATGATGAGGAAATAGTCAAAGGCATCAGATGCTACTGAGAAGTGAAGTAAGCTGACTAGGAATTAACCACTGTATTCAGGGATATGAAAATCACCTGGTGAACTAGGGCGACTGCTGTACAAACTATTTCAATAGGAGACGTGATGTTTTTAGAAGTCAAACTTTTACAAATGTAAAGGTTGTAGAAGTCAAAACAGACTGGGTGGAGGAATGGGAATGGAGAGGGCCAAAGTATCCAGCTATTTTGAGAAGTTCAGCTGTGGAAAAAAAAATAGGATGGCAGCTGGAGGGGAAATGAGGTAGAGTGGTTTATCCTAACAGGGGAGCCTTTAGCATTTTTAAAACACTGGTAAAAATTTAAAGTTGGGCAAATGTCAGAAATTTACAAATAAGGAAGGACTAGAAGAACTGAGAGCACAGGAAGACACTGACCCCAGAGGGATGCTTGCCGTGTTTAGGCAGGAGGGAAAGAGGAGAAAATGATGCATATGTAGATGGGTTACCAAGTCTGGCTGTGAAGTATTATGGAAGCTCCCAACTGGTAGCTTCTACTTTTGCCTATGAAGAAATAAGGTCACCTGCAAAAAGTGAAGAGAATGGTGGGGTAATAAAAAGCTTGAGAATATTGGTTTGAAATACTCATTGCAGGGAACAGGAAGGACTACCAGAAAAATCTAGTGTGACTACAAGGGCTGAGACTCTATTTGAAGTTGGTAACCATGGATTCATAAAATATAAACCTACTCCATAATAATTTCTTTGGGTGGCTTTTAACTGTCCAGATGTAGGCACAAATGTTTCATTTTATCTAAGAGTCTAACCAAGAGATGAGACAAGGAAATTTAGCCTATTCCAAGATAATGATTAGAATTTAAGCTGGATAGGAATCTTGACAGGAAGGTGCTAATAGAGAGAAGATAGAAGCAATGGCCTGAAAGCTCCAATAAAACCGAAGAACGGTAGTAAAGGAATGGTTCAATAAACAAAGCAGAAGGAATATGATCAGTAAATAAGATGCAAAAATGGAGAAAGAATGGACTGGAATTAGAAATAACAAAACAGGCTCAGTGGGAATAATGTGGGGTAGAGAATGAAAAAGCTGGAATTAGAAGGTTATAGACAAGCAGTGAGACATCAAGAGTAACATTATAGAAGTCCAAAGATTTTGCCTGATACCTGTTTTCCATAATCATCACCATCTACTGCTCCCTTTGGTTTCTCTCCCTCAAGTCTGACTACTGCAGAATATGGACCCCAAATTTTTCCCAACTGTCCCTGAAACAAGCACACATACTTTATTTTTTTAAAGAATTTACTGCTTATCCTGGGAAGACAGAAAATAGTAAGAGAGTAACAACTTGGGGAAATGGTTGAAGTTCCAGAGTATCCCAGAATTCCTACAGGTTTCATCTCTGTTTGGAACTACTGATTTTCCAGGAAATGGCGTCAAAAAGCCCTGTGATTTCTTGATCTGCTGTAGGTATCTCCTACTTTCCTTAAACGACAGAACCTCCTTCTTGTAAAACACAGTCCATGAAAAAATACTTATGAATGAAAGCATACCTGGCTCACAAGTGAGCTACATAAGTCAGATTTAAGTAAAGGACAGCTAGACAGAGCCCCCATTTTCTCTGTCATCTAGGCAGGAAACAACTTCCTGTTGCTATTACCAAACTTAAAACTGTACCCACCGACCTTGCTTTAATCAGTTGCCTAGGAGTGTTGAGGTGTTCCTTTTACACATATAAGGCAATTTCTCCACTGTCAGGATTAAAGCCAGGAAATGCACTAAATGACAGAATAAAGGATAGAGCCAGTAAGATGGGCAAAGCTTCCCTGCCCAGAATATACACCAAACTGAATAAAAGCGGGTTTTAATGGCTCCAGAAAAAGGAGCAACAGTACCCTGCTCTCAAGCAACCCTTACTTTCTACAGGCTGCACGCAGCTCAAGGTCCCCGGGCTCCTTCAATCTGAGGGTCCATCCGGGGCCTCCCTTCCTGGGGCTGGGTATGGCTAGCTGCCTGGTGCCGAAGTTCCAGTCTGTTCAGCAGTAACACCTGGCCCGGCGGAGGCAGCCTCGTAATCTGCGATGCGGCGGTGTACCAGGGCAGGCATGAGCTGCACGTAAGCGGCCATGAGGCGGTGGTTGGAATGGATCAGCTTCCCAGCACAGCTATGCAGACAGGCCTCCTGGAAGAACGACAGGGTAGAAGCAGGGGCCAAAGGCGTCCTGTCGTGTCCGTCTCCTTCCTTCCCGTCCCCACCCAGGGGCCGAGGGTCGCGGAAAGGCCAGGGCCGGAGGCAGGGCAGTGGTAGGAGGGAAGCGGTCTGCGGCTGACTGCGGATCAAGGGTAGAGCCCTACCAGTCCCCCAGCTGACCTCCTCAGCATCCAGAGCTCGGTGGAGCAGGCTGGGCACGCAGCGCTGGAAACAGAGTTCCGTCATCCGATTGTAGACCAACAGGAAGTCCCGCAACTGGAGACAAGGCGATAAAGGATTCAGCGGTAAGGGGGCCCACCTCTCAACTCGATGCCGCGCCACCACCAGTTTCCCAGGACGGCGCACCCCGGCCGGAAGTCCCAGCCCTAGGTCCCAGGCTATCTGGGGTTCCCGACGAGCTGACAGAGGCGCTCTTGAACGCAGGGTCCTGAACCCACCCGGCTCCCACTCACATTCCTCAGCTGCTGGTGCGGCTGCTGGGGCTCCATCACACCACCGGCGCGCGCTTACGTCACTTCCGCGGCTACGGCCTCTTGGTACCACCCCGGAAGTAATTTCGCTCTCCCGGGACTGAGGGGTTGGCTCGAGGATTGCCCTTCCCCCGCTGCTATCGTCACCTCCGCCCTTATAATCTGCGACGTGGCCGGCTTCTTCTGCCCTGGAGAGGACGTCACTTCCGCCGAGTCCCTGACCTGCTGCTAGGATCGCGACGGGAACTGGAGCCCGAGGTCCCCGCGCGGCCCGGGCCCGGCGCCCTGAGGGGAAGAGCTGCCCGGCCCGAGGTGAGAGGGACATACTTGAGCGAGGGGAAGTTGAACGCAAGACCTGCCTTGAAGGCAAGATGCCTCTGAGCCATGGGGAAGGATGAGGACACACCTGATGCCCAGGTGTGAGGGGGGGCGGGGACTCACACACCTGGGGAAACATAACTGACTTTGGAAGGGATTACCTATGTCCTGGGAAAAAGAGGCTTTTCCCAGATGTTGGGAACATACACTAACTGATTCAACTAAGGCCCTGTGGGGAGGCCCGAGGAAGAGGAGGTGCATGGGATGGAGAGGGGAAGAACACTTGAAAGTAAAGGGAAGGAACACTAAAAGAGTGTGAAAGGAGGAGCAATGGAGATCATCTCTAAGTGAGGGGTAGGCACCTGAGCCCTGGGAAGGGATTCATCTCCTGATGGGGGAAACACCTGCATGGAGACAAGCCTCAAGAGAGCACAGACTTTCTCCTGTACACTTTTATTCCCATTGCCTTAAATAGTGTATGACACATAGTAGGTGTTCATTAAATGTCTGTTGAATGATTGAATGCATGAATGATCATGGGAGACCTGGTGGGGTTGGCAAGTCATGAGAAGACACCTGAGGCCCCAGTGGGCATGTGTAAAAACAGGCACCTTGGAGAGGACAAATACATATACCTAAGGAAAGGAGTGGTGGCTGAACCCCAAAACACTCAAACCCTGGCACAACCTCAAGAACCTCTAAAATGGCAGGGAGACCTTCCTCTTCTGGAGTACTGGCCAGTTTCCAGAACTGTCTGCGTTGGGCTTTGCAGGGCGCTGGGGTGGAGACTTTGACACCAGTCCCTTCCCCAGCCATGACTGACGGTATCCTAGGGAAGGCAGCTACAATGGAGATACCCATCCACGGAAACGGAGAAGCTGGGCAGCTTCCTGAGGATGATGGACTGGAGCAGGTGCTTCTGTTTGATTCTTCTCTGTATTGTTTCAATTTAGGAATCCCAACTTTTGAGCCTTGGGCTCTCACCCCTAATCCACTAGCCTTCTCCTACTTACTTAACTCCCTTCAATCTTTTTACAAATCTTCGCTCTGATTCTGTGCAGACTTCCCTTGTGTGCTCTATGATGCTTCAATCCAAGCTTACTCTCACCCCCAAAATGCTTCAGCTGCTTCTGTGTTCCTGAAGCCCCCCTCTTCTCTGGCCTATAGGACCTCCAGCAGGTGATGGTGTCAGGACCCAACCTCAATGAAACCAGCATTGTGTCTGGTGGCTATGGGGGCTCTGGTGATGGACTCATCCCCACAGGTATGAATGATCAGGACAGGAAGCTTGAGTGGAGAGGGGGCAAGGAATAGTTCTGGGGAGCATAAGATAGATATGTCTAAGGAAGCTTCAGTTGGGTCTGGAGGTCTTGAGAACCTCTGCTAGTATGAACCCTATGGATGCTCCATGGCCCTAGCCCATTCCCAGGTTGTCCAACTGCTCCTACTTGCCATTTAACCCCTGAGATATGCCCATTTGTCCTTTCTCTGCTGCCACCACCTGAATCAAGTTAAGAACTCTGTTTCACAAGAGATCCCCTGCTCTGGAGCTTGAGGTTTTTGGAACTCCGTGAAGCTTCTTAGAGTTTTACTTGAGACTGTAAAGTTTAGAGGAGCAAACAGCCCTGAATCTCACACTGACTAGGATTTCACATGGGAATGTCAACCACCTGCCACCCCATACTCAGTGAATTTTCTTTAGTTTCCTCTGCTCCTGTATACCAGCAACTCTCCCCACCCTCCCCCTCCAACTCTTAACCCAACCTCAGAAGGAGGCCAGATGGATATTGGGATTTGGGTCTCAGGGCATAAGGTATGAGTTCTGTCTAGTGAGTAGGAGACTCTGACTTTAGCTTCTGCTCCTTCAGGGAAGTCATTGTCATGTGCTGGGAGGGAAGTATGGGTGGAGCCACAGAGGTGTCTGGTTGTAGCTGAGAGAGGCTGGTGTCAGAGAACTTGGTCCTTTAGGGTCTGGCCGCCATCCATCTCACAGTGCCACTCCTGCTGGCCCCGGAGATGAGATAGCTCGGGGCATCGCTGGAGAGAAGTTTGACATCGTCAAGAAGTGGGGCATCAACACATATAAGGTGGGATTCAAGCACTTCTCTTTTCCCAAGCACTCCCCCTGAGTACCATTCCCCCTTCTTCCAGATCCTAGAGTCCCATCTGCAGCTGAGACTATAAGCCTGGGAATGCTGGGGGTAGATACCTGTTTGGAGAGCAGGGTGCTAGGGGTCTGACTTATTCCCCTACTTCCCAATCAGTGCACAAAGCAGCTGTTATCAGAGCGATTTGGCCGAGGCTCCCGGACGGTGGACCTGGAACTAGAGCTGCAGATTGAGTTGCTGCGTGAGACGAAGCGCAAGTATGAGAGTGTCCTGCAGCTGGGCCGGGCACTGACAGCCCACCTCTACAGCCTGCTGCAGACCCAACATGCACTAGGTGACGCCTTTGCTGACCTCAGCCAGAAGTCCCCAGAGCTTCAGGTGCCTCCACCAGGCCAAAGAGAGTTGGGGGACTGGGCCCAGGCCCTCCCAGGCAGTCATCCTTCAGCCTCCCTCCCTCCGTCCCTCCTGCAGCCCAGAGGGACAACCCCTCCAGGGTGGGCCCAGCCCTGCCCCCAGCAGCACTCACCTATGGAGGCAGCCTAAGGGTTTGTACAGAGATCCAGAAGTTGGAGGGCATGGGGAAGGTGGCACACTAGAAGCCTCACAAGTAACGCTTCTCTGCATTGCCAAGAATGCCTTTGGTGCTCAGCCTGACTGGAGCCCCTCCCTTGCCTGCTGCACTAGCTTTCCCTATTCTAGTCCCATGACCTTATCTGAGAACGCTATTCCCACATTCCTACCTGGGGTGGCCCACTAACTTTCTGGCTAAGAGAGCCTTGCTGGAGGCAGTCTGTGGTTTTTCCAGTTTGATGACTATTTCCTCCCTGGGGAGGAGGGGAATGAAGGGCCCTACAGCTCCAGTTAGGTAGGGACTGTAACTCAAGGCCTGTCTCTCCCTTCTGCCATTAGGAGGAATTTGGCTATAATGCAGAGACGCAGAAGCTGTTGTGCAAGAATGGAGAGACACTGCTAGGAGCTGTGAACTTCTTTGTCTCTAGCATCAATACATTGGTCACCAAAACAATGGAAGATACATTGATGACTGTCAAACAGTATGAGGCTGCCAGGTGTGGGCACTGGCAGGGCCTAGGGTTTTGGGAGTTGGCTGGTATGGGTGGAAGTTTGAGCTTTAAGGGGCTTAGAAACTGAGGAAGAAAAGAGAGTATGTGTAGAGGACAAAGGAGTGGAGACCAGCCTGTATCACCTCCTCCCCAGGCTGGAATATGATGCCTACCGAACAGACTTAGAGGAGCTGAGCCTAGGTCCCCGGGATGCAGGCACGCGTGGTCGACTCGAAAGTGCCCAGGCCACTTTCCAGGCCCATCGGGACAAATATGAGAAGCTGCGGGGAGATGTGGCCATCAAGCTCAAGTTTCTGGAAGAAAACAAGGTGCCCACCCTACCCCTTTGACCCCAGCCCACCTTCCCATCTGTAACACCGACCTTTCCCTCAGACCACCTTCATCATTGGGTGGGGAAATGCAGCCTGGCTGGGCGTGGGGTCTTCCTTCAGCCCCTCAGTCCCTGGGCCTTACTGATCAACCCTCCCTCTGATCCCTGGTCCTCTTTTGTCAGAGGATTTGGCTGCTGATCCCAGGGATATAACTGGGAAAAATCACCCCTTGAGCTGGCATGCCAGCACCTTAGGCCTAACAAATCAAATCAGGTTTCTCACATCCGATTGATCCTTATCCTTTGACTCCCTCAGTAGAGTTCAGCCCCCACCTAAAAACACCATGAAAGCAGAGTCCACATACCCCTGGTCTGGGCTCAGGCTCATAGCCCCTCAAGAAAGGTGTCTGAGTCCAGTGTCAGCTGACTCTGCTGGGCCCCCAGATCAAGGTGATGCACAAGCAGCTGCTGCTCTTCCACAATGCGGTGTCAGCCTACTTTGCTGGGAACCAGAAACAGCTGGAGCAGACCCTGCAGCAGTTCAACATCAAGCTTCGGCCTCCAGGAGCTGAGAAGCCCTCCTGGCTAGAGGAGCAGTGAGCTGCTCCCAGCCCAACCTGGCTATCAAGAAGGACATTGGGAGGGGCAGTCCCAGGGTGGGGGAAGATTGGACATGGGACATCCCTTGCCAACTGCCCTCTGGCTTGGGTTCCTTTTCCCGGCTGGGGCCTGACACCAGTTTTGCCCCAACTGCTGTAGGTAGGGAGGGGGCCTGCAGGCTCAGCAGCTGCTGCCCCGTCCTTTATCTTCCTGGCCACTGGGCTTCATGCCCAGGTCTTTTTCTTCCACTTGACAGCCAAAGGCTATGATAAAAACACTCCCTGGCCAATGGCATAACTCCTCAGGCATAAACCCAGCTGAGGTGTGCCCTGACAATGACAGCCTCAAAGGGCCCTGTCAGCCAATGGCAGCTCTTCTTGGGCTCCCCTGGGCCAATGATGTTGCCTCCAACACCCTTTGTCACTCCTCTCTGTGCACCCACTGTAGAGAAGGGGACTGGGACCAAACGGGTGGGAATAGTGGGGAGCCCCACTTCTGGCCCTGAATCTGATGGGCTTCCCCTTACCTACCCACCCAGTTTAATTGTGCTTAGAGCCCTGAAAGATTGGGACCTAGCACTAGGAATAAAACTTTCATAAAAGCAGACCCAGTGAGGTCAGTTTGTCGACTCTAGGAGGGTGGGCAGGGTGGAGAAATGCTCATTCTAAATCATACATCAAAATCCTGTCAGAAGAGGTGGGGCCACACAGTTGAAGTCAGATTTC